TCTTGGTCTCTTTCTGTCTGTGTCTTGGCTTCCTCAGACAATTTAATTAAAAGGAAAAAGAAAAATCTCCCCTGGTAGAAGGCTGTGCTTAATGTTTTGCCTCGTGTTGGCATAGCCAGCACCGTCTTGGGGTACCCAGAGGCTTTGCAAGATCTTGGAGGGGGGGTGGGGGGAGCTGTCTGTGATGCAAGGACCAGATTTGCCCCTGGAAAAATCCATTTACACCATTCCCACTGCACTGAGCTGCTCCAGGTCTCAGCTCCTTGGGGTAAGGACCGCACGTGTCCCCAGCGTGAGGGACGTCAGGAACGAGCCCTGCTCAGCCCGCATGCACACGGACGGCAGCACCGGGAGCCCAAAAGCTGTGGATCACCGGCCTTATCCAGACCGCGGTTGGGGCAAATTGCCTTTGCTGCGAGCCGGGCACCATGTACAGCACAGCCCTTGTCCCAGGCTGGACGGTCAATCTCTAGTGACAGGCAGCTCCCGACCCAAAATGTCAGCGCTCACACATGAGCGGGCAGCACGCCGGCACGGAGACACCAGCCGACTTTAAAGCGCTGCACCCGTGTTTGGTGTGTGCCACCCTCCCCATCCCTCTTGGCTAATTGTCACCATAGCAACAGATAACGGTCCAGCGCAGCCAGATCCTGGCCATTCCTACGGTACCCTGTGCCTGCGGGCACATCCCGGGATGGCATTAATCCTGCTGCAGGATGGCCTTTTGCAGAAAACCAGGTGTGTTTTGCCCCAGTCCTGCCCAGTGGGATGCTGGCGGTTTGCCCGGCTGCTTTCTCTCCCCATGGCGCCCCGAGAGCATCCAGCCCCGGGCCAGGATCCCTGGGGAACAGACTCGGGGGGAGAAGAGCCCGAGGACAGGGCACTACCCTGCCTTCTCCTCCAGGAACTCTTAATCCTAGAGGATTAGCCAACAGCCGTGTGGTGCTTCATCTTTCCAAAGCCCCGTACAAGTGCTAAGCATTATTATTACTATTATGATTAATTATTATTAAGCAGATTCAGTCCTTACCATGCTCCGTTGCCAACCTCGCTGCAAGCGCTTTCCCAGCCTCAAAGGAGCTGAACAAACACGCGGCGGCTCAGGAGTTTCTTCCCCTACACAAAAGCACAGAGTTTTATAATTTGGGCTGGAAGCAATGCGGAGACAGATTGGGGCTGGCTGGGATGTGGGCGCATCGGTGACTCCGCTTTCATCCCGAAGCAACAGCATCCGAGCATCCAGACCCTTTCGGACCAGATGCCTGAATCCCTGCTCCCTCCCTGCCAGCTTGCACGGCTCCAGCCTATTGCACCTCCCTGCGTGAGAAGTGAACCTTCATTTTCTAGAGGAACTTTTACTTTGTATGGGGAACCTTTATCGTTCAGGGAAATCGGCATGCCTCAGTTTACCCCCCACGCTACCGAGCAGGCAGGAGAGCTCCCCACCAGGGTGCGGATGCTTCTCGCCCTCCTCGCTGGATTGGAGATGCTCCAGGGGCCTCATCCCAACATGATTAAACAACCATTAGGCTTTCTCGCTTCGAAAAATGAGGATTTACAGATGCCCAAACCTCCATTTAAATGCAAATGTGGTGGTTTTAGCCCGGAACCATGGAAATGAGGAGCATTACAGTGGCAGTGCCACCATCGCCCAGCTCTGCTTGGTGCCACCTCGGGAGCGACGTGACCTCCCCATCCAGCAGCTGGGAGAGGACCGGTGAGTTCAGCGGTCCCGCATCCCAAACCCACCCCTCCGTGCGCATTCAGGATGCTTGGCTCTGTCCCCAGGGGTGCTGGCATGGTGACGGATCAGGCTGTAGGCTTGGACCTTCTCGGCACCAACACAAACAAAGCGATGAGCGAGAGGACACGGGGTCCTCTCCTTATTTTGCACAGAGTTGCTGCCTGCTTTCCCAAAGTGCCCCCCAAGGCGAGGGACACAAAGAGATGTCGTCCCACCAAAGCAGTGATCCCAAGAAAACCCTCCATGCCGTGCTGAATCCTGCCTTCCCCTCCTATCCCCGCTCACCCTTCTCCCACCGCCTCCTAGCCCTGCCTCCCCAACCCCATCCACCTTCCTGCAGGTAATTACAAAGGACATCAATTAAATCCCTGGCTCCCCCCTACCGCACACCCCGTTGTTTGAGGACCTGGCAGTGAATAATGCAGGAGGCTGAGGGGAAAAGAGCTGCTCAGGTTGTTTCATTATTGATGAGAGATGACAGATCCACGGTTGACAACCTGCCTAAGAGATATGATTAGCTTGTAAAAAATTAATCGCGCTTCTTAGGGATGACGCGAGCTGAAAACCCCAAGGAGCGGCATTATCGATGTTCCCTAATTTCAGGGGACTTTGAAAAGGTTTTAGCAAAATTTGGAAGAGGCAATTACATGCAATTAGAGTCACAAGTGCCGAGACGTCACTGCTGCTCGGAGACACCATGGCTGCATCCCCGGCCGCTCGCCCTCCTTACCGCCAGGCGTAGACAGATACAACAGTTGTACGTCGGACCTGCGGTTCTGCCATGGGGATCCACCTTCCCGACATCATCCGCCACAGCTCAAGCTCAGCAGTCGGGCTCTGGTCCCCCCATCCTGCTGTTGGTGAAGGCAACAGCACCCAGACCACGCTGCCTGCCGAGAACACCCTCGCTTCCCCTTGCGCTCCGTGTTTCGTCCTCCCGAGGTCCATCAAACCCCACCACTGCCGAGGATAACCACGCTCACCTTGGCGTGCACCCAGAGTCGGGATTTCGGCAGCCCAGCCCTGCATCTCTCAAGGATGTGGCACATCCCAGCCCTTTGGGATATTAGGGTGGGAGGCACAAAACCAGGGATGCTCTGGTTCGATGGGGCTGGGAATGGCAGCGGGAGCGACGGTGGGCTTTGCTCGGTGCTTCCCCTGCCTCCTCCACCTCATTACCGGGCACAGTTACTGCCGTGACCGGGTTCACAGGGCCACCAAGCACATGCATAATTCATACTTCCCAGCTCACAAACATGAGGATCTTTGCAGATCTGCCTACAGATTAAAAACGGCAGCAGTGAGAGATAAAGAAACCCTGGGGTCACGGCCGCGCTCGGGTGGGCAGACCCTTTGCCAATCAGCCGAGCCCTGAAACACGTGCCCAGCCTCGATGCACATCCCTGTTACCCGAGCTCCTGCCTCGGGACCCTCTAAGGGTTTGCAGGCAGGAGGGATACCCCTTTCCCCGAGGTTCTGGCTGGACCAAGTCCCCAGTGATAGATTTTGGGTCCCTGTGCCAAATAGGGTGGAGGGGAGCGGCTGGGTGGGTTTTAGCTGGGGCTGCTTTGGCCCCCGGCACGAGCTCAAGATGCATCTGAAGGATGCATCACTCCAGCGCTTACCCTGCCCCGAAGGCCAGCGCTTCATCTTAACGTCCTCATTCCCCCAACCTTCTCCTTGCTGCATTGCCCCACGCTGCACCCGTACGAGGTGACAGCTTCCCGAACATCCCCCTAAGAGCCGCTGGTGGGCTCTCCCCCTTCACAGCAGGGACGTGCACAGGGGTCCCCAACTGCCAAGTCGGCATGGGGAGGTTATCTCTCTGCTTCCTTTCCACCCTCTGTATACCGATATACATATATACATATATAAAAAAACCACTATTTAGCATGTGGTCCTCCACCTAACAAGCATCCCCGGCAAGTCTAGTGGCAGATATACAACCACCCCCGTCCCCTTTGGCACCACCACGGTCCCCGTGCAGGTGATGAAATTCAGCACCTCGGCGTTGGCAGGGGGATGTCTCGGCACTTGCAGATGCTGGCGATGGTGGGGACTGTGCCCCAAGGAGGCTCAGAGCCCTTCCCCATCGCCAAAGGCAATGCCCGAGCGCATGCGATGGCTAGTGAAGATCAGCTGCTG